AACACACAGCACAGACTCCTTTCTACAGCGAGGAGGAACCTGCTTCCCTGCTTGGAGAGCCAGGCAGGCCCTGGCAGGGACTAGTAGGAGCTACAGCCTGCTTCCAATTGATTGACCCTCAAATGGCCCAAAGACAGCACTGAAAAGGCCCAAGTCCCTGCTCCGCCCACCAGACAACCTCCAGCCCAGAAGGGTGAAGCACCTCTTCTGGAGGCTTCTGGTCTACTGAACCCCAGCCAAGGGTTAAGGAGCCCCTGTGACGAAACGGCTAAGCACTCAACTGCTAACTGAAAACCTGGCAGTTCGAAGCACCAGCCGCTCCCCAGGAGAAAAGAGAGACCTATGGGGCAGCTCAGTTCTATTCTGTCCAATCAGCAGAGGAGAAGCTGCAGAAACAGAGCCTATGGCAATTAGTTTTAACTTGCTGAATGAGCTGTCACAGCTGGCGATGGAAATTGCCATGGTGAATAGAAACCGCTCAGTGGTTCCCCCACCCCCTCAAGTGATGCCCAAGGCATGTGGCACACCTACCATGCCCTAGATACGCCTCTGCCCATCAGGTAGCCTGGGGTGACTAGGAGTTGAAATGCCTCAGCAGCACAAGCAAGTGCAAACCACAACTGCCGTGGGCTGCGGGCAGTGGAGAGCCTGTCAGGTGCCTGGCCAGCACATCTCACGCTTTGCCCATGATACCAACCAGGCTTCAGAGGAGCTTCCGGGCCAAGATGCACCGGAAGAAAGGATTGGAGACTGACTTCTGAAAATCACTCTGTGAAAATCCTACAAACCACAAGGGACAGATCCCACTGGGTATGGGATTTCCATGCACTGACAGCAGCTCCAGCAGGGAGGAGCGGTCCTGGAGAAGAAAGGCCCTGGTCTGCCCTCATAGTCCACCACACAGGGCAGAGAGCAACCAGGCCTCTTCAACCCTGAGGCGCAGTAGGCAGGCTGGCCAGCAGGAAGGAACTGCAGGACTAGTAGGTCCAGTTGTTCCCAGAGGTATCCAGCCAAGGTCCAGGACCAGGATCAGAGGTGAGCTGAAGCAGACAGGAGATGGGTGTTTGGGTTGAGTAGAACTCCAAACTAGACAGAGCTGGGTTCACGTCTCACCTGGACACGTGATAGCTATATGGGCTCGGAGGAGTTCCCTGGCCTCCAGCTTAGCTGTTGATAACATGGGGTGACATACACTGCCCACTTCACAGTTATTATGGAATTAAATGAGCTCATCTCTCCATTGCCCAAAGAAGTGCTGAGCCCCTCCTTGGTGCAGGCCTTGCTCTGGGCCCTCAAAGCAGACCAAGAGTCCCATCTCAGTATGTACCATGAATTAGATGGTATGAAGGTGCTATGGGGAAGACGGGGGACAGTGGGGTGGAGTAGGAGGCCTCCTGGAGAAGGTAGCTTCTCCGCAGAGATCTGAAGGCCATGAGGGAACCTGAAGCCTGCCATGAGAGTCGGGGGGAGGGACACCCAGGCCTGTCCAGCTGGTGGAAGGGCATCACAGGAAGGAGCCAAGTGAAAGGAGTGGCAAGATGACCAAGTGAGGGCAGAGGCAGATGGTTCCGCCTTTGTGAGAAGACGGTGTTCGGGCTGAGGGAAACGGGAGCCACTGCAAGGCATTGAGCAGAGGCAGCGTGCGCTGGTGTGAGTTTGAGGAGGAGCGCTCGGATGTCCTTTTGAGAAGTGGAGTGACAAGTGCCCGGTATGGAAAAGCAATAAAGTCTATCTGTGGTTCTTCTGCATAACAATACTAATTTGTGCCATGCACAGGAAACACCTTACTCTATGAGGTGGTACAGGTTTAGAAGATCGACAGACCGGGAAGGTAACCACCATGTAATTTGCTCTAGCTGCAGAAATTCTCCCGTTGCACACCCCAAGCCCTGGCCATCGGTCTCTGCTGGATCTGGTACCCAGAGTACTGCCTCTTTGGGCAGGCCACTGCACTGTAAGCATACACTGGCCATCAAAACCAGGCTGGAATCCATGCCCGAATCTGCTTTCCTGGAATCCCACCCTCAGCCAGGAGCTGTGTGTAGCACAGTGCAAGCCTGCCCCCTCCCTTCAGATGTGGAGGATAGCAGGGGGGCCCTAAAGGGTCTTAGGTTCTCTTGGGCTGGGGGTCCAAAGTCATTCAAAGGAGAAGTGGGCATTCTAAGGATGGGGTCTTCCCAGTGACTGACTAGCCCCTAGGAAGAGCCTCCAGGGAGAGCAGCACCCCCACCCACCACCCACCCCGCTCATTGCCCCTGCCCCTAGCCAGAGCTCCTCTACAAACAAGGGTTCAAAATCTGAGCAACAGTGAATGAGGGACCTGGAGAGTAGGAAGCCTCCTTGGCCCCAAAACCCAGACTGGGAGGGAGGAAGTGGGGTAGGGGGTGGGGCGGCCCCCTGGGGCGGACACTGGCTGGTTAGGGCGATGCTGATAGCCTGCCTGCCCAGTGTTCCTTCCTCTCCGCGGTGGCAACTGGACCAGGTCGGCGGCAGAAAAGCATTTCCCCCTCTTGGTTTCCGAATCTCTCTGACTCCCGGGGAACCCCCTGGAGGTGCCTCCCCTTGACAGGCAGAACAAGGAAACGACAGGCTCCTGGATTTTCCTAGGACCCCACACCCCAACCTCAGGTCCAAGCCAAGGAGTGTGGCAGGGGGTGAATCAGGATCCGAAATACCAAAATCCACAGGCTGGGGACTCCCAAGGGAAAGGGAGGGAAGGTGGAGTCACCCCAAAGACCGTGTGCCCGTCCACTCCACGTGCCCGCCCCGCTTTCCTCCGGGAATGTGCAGATGGCTGGGTAGGGGGGCACTTCTCCGAGAGAGGGTCTGGGAGGTTCCCGGCTGCAGGACTGTGCTGGCGGGGGAGGGGCTCCGGAACGTGGCTGCGGACCGACCTCTGCCTCCAGCGGCCTCGGGATCCCCTGTGCACCAGGTTCATCTGGAGCCCAGACCAGTGGCAGGCGGGTTCCACAGAGGCCATTCCCCGAGGGGCAGGAACCCCGCCCCCACCCGGAAACCTCCCGGGCCCTGAGTCGTGCCCAGCGCTCTCCACCCCACCCCACCCCCGCCGCCTCCGCCGTCACTCACGGCCGCTGCTCGGTGGCTCGCTCGTGCGCTCTCCGCGCCACAGGCACCTGCTAGCCCTGCGCTCTGCGCTCACTTCTCGCTCTCATACTGCAGACTCCAGGCGTCTCCGCGGTCACCCGATCTCGTCCCCTGTCCGACACAGCTGCCCGCCCTTCTCCGGGGCCCGGCGCCTACCCACCCGCCATGGCCCGGGTCAGGGCCAAAGAGCGGTGCGGCTCGCTGCCTAAGCCGGGGTAAGGAGTTGCGGGCGCGAGACTGCGTAGAGGGCCGCGGGACAGCGGAGAGCCAGAACCCACGACCGTCTCGGGCGACTGAGACTAGGAGGAAGCCAGGGAGAGTTTGGGTGGGAGGACCACCCCCCCCTTTCCAAGCGGGTGTGGGGCGGGGCTGCGCTCCCACAAGGAAAAGGACGGTGGTCCAGCCAAGCGACCCCCGCAAGCGGGGAGGGGGAGGGGGTGAGCTCCGGGGCGGCGGCGGGGGCGGTGCCGGTTGAAGAAGCGAGGGGAGGGGAGGGCGGGGGTGACGCCGCGGCGGAGGCGGCTCGGCACCCAGCCGCTGACCGCCCCCTCCCTTCCTCTCCCCTTCCCCCTCTCCCCGCCTCTCCCGCTCTGGGGCTGCCACGGCGGACCCGCTCTCCCGGCGCTGCGCTGGGTCGGACGACAGGTCTGCGCGCCGCGGCTGAGCGCCCACTCGCCCTGCGGAGAGAGCCGCTGAGGGACCCGCGGGGGCGGCGGCGGGAGAGCTCGGCGAGCGCCGGAGGAGGTGGCAGTCGGGAGCCAAATCAGGAGGGAAGTGGGAGGCAAGAAGCCTACGGCTACCAGGCGCGCGCCACCTCCGCCAGGGATGGGTCCCGGAGCGGCCCGGAACCTGCCCGGACCACCGGGCAGAGACTGAACCGGGGATCCCGATCGTCCCGCGAACAGACGGGCGGACGCACGGACCGAGGCGCCGACGGATCTCCAGTAGCCTCCCGGCGGGACCTCGCCTTCCGCGCGCCCGGCGCAGCGCCCCCCTCCGGA